AGAGAGAGAGAGAGAGAGAGAGATTTGGAAACAAGTTTTGTTTATAATCGAAGTTTAGTTCTCCCTTTTGTTTCCACTGGAATGTATATTATAATACTAAGAATTACCTATAAATCAAAGATTCTTAGCATTTGATTCCCTAAATACATATACTTCCACCTTGAATTATCATGTAAAAGCATGTCTCCAATAGTTCTAGATTGAAACTTCATAGAAAGCATACCGGACCGCATAGACGATAAGACTGTATTATGCGCTCCACGATGTTGTTATACGAATCCATATCTCTGTCTTTTGCATGCTCAAGATCACGTCTAAATTTCTCGAAGTCAGCCCTGCAAACATGACATATCAAAATAAAAGACAAATGATGGATATATTTTTCCCATCAATTCCTAAGAAATGATGAGAAACTAAGTTACCAATGGGTGTTCAACACTAGAATCAGAATTGCACCAATTCAACCAAACAAATAACACAGAAACTCCATTTCTAAACAGGAAAAGACATTACCTTTCGCTCTCCAGAAGCTTGTATAAAGAGGAGTAACAACTGTGCTTTTCAGAATACTCTTTAGTATACTCCTTGTACCTGTATCACACAAAAGATGCATTTTTAACCAGCAGAAACAAGACCAACAGATGATTTATTGTTCATGGAGATGAATGTTTTCACATTTGACAGATGAATAGATAAATTTCTACAAACATGAATGCACATATGCCTGCATGGTCATATTCTAGAAGATAGTAACTTACTGGGCATCATCTTTTATTGGACCTCTTAGTTCTGGCTCATCTTTCTCATACTTTGCATAGAGTACTTTATCATCATCTGATAAAGAGTTCCTCTTTTTACTCCCATTACAATGCTCCATCCACGACCTCTCTTTCCTTTTCCCTCCTGAACCAGTCATTGAACTGGTATTCGTGGATTTGCTACCCTGAACATTATTGGGAATGCCCTGGCTCCAAGCCTTAGCATCTTGCTGATTGGATAGACCTGAAGATCTCTTCTTTGAAGCATTGAAATTGCTTTCCAAGGCCATGCCATGGCTTGGATCCATATCAGGTATATCCCCCCTACCAGGTTTCTCAAGAAATTTGTCCAAATGAGATGAAGAATCAAACTCACCAAGGTCTGCTCTTTGTGTAGCCTGTGAATGTCTGAAATTCTGATGAGGGTTTGTAGATTCTAAATGCTCGTCTTCAAGCATTCTCTTACCCAACTCATTTTCTTGGTTCATTGGTGAGAGCCTCTTTGGCTCTTGAACTACTTTCCCAGTATTTCTCCCCTTTGATCTATCCAAATCAGTGGGACTTCTTTTACTTTGTGAAAGTTTGAAAGAATTTGATTTCTCAAGCTGTTTCTTTGCCTCCTCAGCAACCGCAGGTTCCCGGAATTCACCCAACTCCAAATCAGAAAGCTCCCTCCTCAGGAAACTTTCCTTTCCACTGCCACGCCTATTCCCATCTTTCCTATTGTCCTTGGGCATGGCAGTTAAAGTAAACTGAGTTGATTGTTCTTTTGATCTCTTTCCAGTTTGTTCACTTGATTTCTTGTTTTGTGGGTCATGGCCAATGGATATCCGCTCCCCGATGATATTCTCTCTGCTAGATTTGGTAGAGAAGAATTTGCTACCCTCTCTCTCTTCATCTAGTATCTCATTGTGGGCTCTCTCATGCTGTAAATTAGAATTCTTTAAAGCACATGCTCCTGTTGTATCAGAAGTCATTGATCCTCTTTCAACATGTCCACTACCTTTGCCAAAATTAGAGGCATTCCTGACCGCTACGTCTACATTATCAGGAGCCTTTCTACCCCGCACACTTGGTTCAGCACTTCCATCTCGATTTAAACTTTCAGCCATTTGTGTAGAATGGAGATGCTTTTTATTGGGGCCAGGCTCAAACTTAGCAGGAGATTTTAAATGTTGTCTCTCAGAGACATAAGTCTCCTTACTTTTTTCATGGACCAATGACTGAGCTATATTCTCTGTTTCCACGTCTGCCTTTGATCTTTTCAAATTTTCTGAATTGTCTTGGGCATGCTTTACATCAGGTCCCCTTTTGGATTTCACCTTAGAAGCTCTCTGTAGATTACCCGGCAGATCATGGCCTGAAACATCCTTTGCCATGGTTTCTCTCATGTCATTGACCACATCAGCCACAAGCCTTCCACCATAAGAGTCTCTTTCCCGATCTAACTGCTTGTATGGATCCGGGGAGTGAGAAGGCACCTTTTGTTCCAACAATTCTGTATCTGTTACAGGAGGAATCACATTAGTATTAGCTGCCATGTCAGTTTCGTGATCACTAGAAGTTTTATTTTTGCCATTGGGACTCAAAGCTTTCGTAAAATCAGCCACATCGTCGCAAATTTCAACATCTTCAGAATTTATATCCATTGTTTCGAGGTACCCATCATTTTTATTCTCACCATCATGATCTCTACCGAACCCGTCATCATGACTTATCCTGGTAATGGGAGATGTGGACGTAGTTAGAACAGGAATACCCAATTTATCATCGGCTTCCCCTTCATCACTCATGATATCAACATCAACATCAGGTTCCTCGCTGCTACTGCTTGTTCCATCACTCTCACTATCACTGGTACTTGGACTTCCACTTCCAGCAGGGCTTGGGCTTTTGCTTCTGCTCCTACTGTGGCTCCCACTATCGCTTCCACTGTCACTACTAGCACTTTCACTCTCGCTATCACTATCACTGGAACTGCTGCCCCCAGTTCCTTCACTGTTGGTCATCTTTTTATTGTCGCCAACTTCATCAGGTGATACACTGTGTGTTTCTCTCTCTTCCAAAGCATTTGGTTGTTCTCCTACCTTCGAGCTCAATTGATCATGTTTCTCAGGTTCTTCAGTTGAAAGCTTTGCCATACTTTCAGGTTCTGCAATTGGTGTTTGAATGTGTAACGACTCGGGCGAACTGAAAAGGGCAATGCAAATTTTAACTGTATGGCCAACCATAATAAAAAATTCCCAGTGATGGAGGGTATGTGCACTAGCTTTGAAACCTAAACAGGTGAAATAATACACTTACTCAATAAGCATCCACAACAGTGAGAACACAGGCATGAAATGACAGGATTCATTCTTTGGCCTTTATTCCAAATGGATTATTTCATATTCATCCACCATATACATCATTATAAGACAATCATTGTTGAACTTGTTTCAAAATATTCATCTTGGGAGAGTGAAAACATCAAACAAGATCACTGGTAATGTCCTCTCTCAATTTTAAAAGAGGAAAAAGAAACTATAATTTCAAAATTTCTCAATAAAACAAACCATAACTAACCTTCCAATATCTGATGAAGGTTTTGTAGAGGTATCCTTTTCCACACCATCCTTTAGAAGATACCTTCCAGGAGCCTGGTAAGTCGCAATCTGATGAGCAACACAAATAAAGCAACAGTCAGTAAATCTCAAGACTAATTTCAAATAATAAGTAGATATCCACAAGAGTTTTTATTGCTCACTGATTTAATGACAGTCTCTATCTTCCTTCCGGAGTTAGGAAAAGCCTCTCCAACAGCTTTTTCCAGGACCTGCATGATCAATCCCATGATGGCCATATCAAGAAGCACAGCAGGCTACCAAATTTCCAAGTATAGCATACAGTGAAAACAATGCATACACACCCAATATAGGTTTAGCGGCACTAATTATGCCACATCACTGTTGTTGAGCTAGTTGTGGTGATATTTTGAATGACGATGTAACATTTTGGGCTGGCCATTATCCAATGTTGGATAGCTCCAACAGTCACATAAGTAAATTTTAAGAACTCTTAATCTCCAAGAAAATGGATGACGCACCAAATAGCATCACAGGTTGAAAAGATTCCCCATGACAAATTTTTGCAAGTCATGCTGTATATCCAATGTCAAATTCCATGGATTATTTAACGACGACTTCAAACTGATTTTAGTACATGTACCTGATAGAGATATCAGCAACTATACTATATGTCACAAATATATAAAATCTTGAGGATCATACTTAAATTTTAAGTAACGAAGTTGTATCAAACAAAGCAGATATTTTATGATAACTGAAGTGATGCAATTAGGGAAAAAGGTTACAAAGATAAAAGTCAATTTCCTTCTGTGCTTGAGCTGCATAGCAAACGAAGATCAAGAGGCAGTCCCTCCTCTGTGAATCTCAGGTGGGAAAGATGGGAACACAGTTAGCGACAAAGATAGAAGCAGGATTGAAGACACATGGGTGACAAGTGTTGTCGAGGGAATAACGGAGAGAGATATTGGATGGACCCTCTACATGTCTGTTGTCTCTAAATTTCTTTTCTCATCATAGTAGACGTTGTATTAAGAAAAAAGTTCTCTATTAATCCGCCAAAAAGGAGAACAAATAGCTTATTTATCAAATAACATGTAAACAAGTCACTTGCTAAATATCCTTGCTTAGACGTGCTTGAAACAATCACTCTGGACAAAGTCAGTGAAATTATGATATTAAAAAGAATGCCTTTTTGTCAACAGAACAATTACTTGAAACATCTGATTGAAACTTATGGCAAACTAAACTTTCAAATGGATTGCAACTCTATCAGTAAGGGATCAAATTTTTTCACGTTACAGAAAGCAAGCCAGGCACCTAAATGGTGAAGTTTCTTTTATTGGTAGCAACAAAATGTAAGTTGCATCATAAAAGTTCATGCTCAATATGACAACTCAAAAAAATATGTAAATATTATGAAATCAATAACTCTACCTTTAAGCTCATTCCCTTGGGATTCTCCATGAGTATCGTGATCAAAATGTTTCGAAGATCCATTGGTGAAGTACCCAAACCAGCCTTATGACCTGCTTCTTGGGTAGCAGGTTTAGAAGGCTTAGCAAGCATCTCTTTCTCAGGAATAGTAGCTTCGTGTTTACTTATAACATGGGGAGCAGCAACATCATGGCCAAGTGCTTGTCCTGATACTCCAAACCCAACACCAGGGGGAGTTGCAGAAGCTTGAAGTGGAATGGTGTTTTGCTCAGGTGAAGATGGTGCAGGTGACAATAAGGACCTACTCTTTGCAGCAACAGTTGAATTCAAAGGTGCTGCAGGTTTTGGAACAGATTTAGGAAGAGAAGCAGGTGTGACTGCAAAAAGATGAAAATGATGACACCAGAATGTAAGTAATTCACGAATTATCAATCTCTTTCTTTTGATTTTGGTAGCATATAACAGCTCCACAAAAATTTAGGAATGTACGTTACTCATCGGCAGCAACTCCCTCCCTCCCTCAACAGAATGTAAGTAATTGAAGAATTATCAATTTCTTTCTTTTGTTTTTGGAAACATATAACAGCTCCATGAAAATCTATAATGTATAATATACATCAGCAGCAGCTCCCCCCTCCCCTCCCCTTCCCTCGCCTCCCCTCCAATCCCCCACCCCACTCTCCCCTACTTCCTCTCCCACCTTCCCCCCCCCCCCCCCCAACCCCTCCCCTCACACACACACACACACACGAGCATGCACGTGCGCGCACACACACACTACAGGAGAAAAAACATGTAACAGCAAAGATGTATCCAATGGATTACCTGGACTGACCTCAGCTTTCGGCTTCTTAGATACAAAATCGTTCTTTTTATTGAAAGGTGTCCTCCGTGAGTTAGCTATCAACAGCATTGCACGAATCTCAGATATGTTAGCTAATAACACAAATGAGTAAGCTACGTAACTTTTCCTCTTTTTTTCCTGGTAAGGGTCAACTAAGTAACTTATGGGAGATTTGAAAAGCCCACAAAATGATCAAAAAACAGAAAGCCTACAAAAGATAACAAAGACCTAAATATCTCAATTCAGATGGGCCCACTTTTTAAAGTGAATAACAAAATAAAATCTCAACATAAGAGGTTATAGAAGTAAACTCAATTTTGAAACAAAGAAGAAGCAATGAGTATATCAATACCTGGAGCAGCAACTGATGGCTTAGCCTGGTTCTTGACTGATGGGTTCCCATGGTCTAACACAATGGACCTATATCCAACAAGAAATAAAATGAACCAACATTGCAAATGAAAAATAACTAATATAATAATTAAGATGGAGAACTCTCTTTCTTGCAATGTAGAACAACTAATTCCACAACACACCAACATTACAAACATATTGATACCAATAAATATGTCTCAGTAGTTTTTTCTTTTTTTCTTTTTTTTTTCTTTTTCTTTTTGAAGGTTTTCCAAGTGGTTTTTGTGGTAAATTTCACTTGGTGTGCCTTTATCATCATCATTGTCAAAACGTTTTCCCAACTAATTGGGGTCAGATACATGAATCATGATCTACCATTCTGCTTTATTAAGAGTCATACCCTCAATGAGGCCATAAGTCCCCGTATCTTTTCTCACTATTTCGAACTATGTCCTTTTGGGCCTACCCCTTGCCTTTTTTTAGCCTTCTACTTAAACTAACTCGCACCTCTGTACCACACATAGCCAGCCCACCTAAGTCTACTTTGTCTCATCTTATTGCTCATTGGTGCTACACCTAATTTCTCCCGAATGAATTCCTTTCAAATTCTAGCCCTTCTTGTCTTGCCACTCATCCATCTCAACATCCTCATCTCAGCTACACTCATTCTATGAATATGTTGTTTCTTGACTGCCCAAAGCTCCATCCCATAAAGTAAAGCTGGTCTCACAACTATCCTGTAGAGCTTGCCCTTTAGCTTCATTGGTATGCCGCAATCACATAAAACTCTGGTTGTACATTTCCACTTCGCCCACCCAGCTGTAATTCTATGTATGACATCTTTCCTCAATCTCTCCATTATCTTGGATTATCGTCTTGGGATATCAAAAGTGCGCTCTTTTTGGTATTTCTTAGCCGTCAATTTTAATTACTTCCTTGTCTCTAGTTCTATTACTATTAAACTTGCATTCCATATTGACTGTCTTAGTCCGGGTGATTTTAAACCCTTTAGATTCTAGAGCATTATGCGTGATTGCAAATGATTTTCAAAATTAAATTTAATATTTACCTTTGGTGTTAGAACTCTACCTATCCAAGGTTTGTGAGTTGACGAGAAAAGGAATTGTTTCAATTCTAAAATTCACTGCAAGTAAAAATGCAAATGCTTAAACCTAGTCGAATTGAATGCCCTCAAAAGATGCTGAAAGCCTAAAACCATCATTTAGTCCACTCAATGTTTCTATCTCAATATCTACAGTTTAACAACTTAAACAAGTAGGTTACCAGCTGTGATAAGTCTCACTAAAAAGGTGTGGTTTGCCTAATGTTGCAACCTTAAACAATCTAAGATGCACCCCCAAACTTTGTTATGTGATACATTTTTTATGTGGAAAATTCTTAGGATGGTGCAAGAATCTATTTTTATCTCTAATGATAAAATTTTAAACTCTAGAAATGATTCAAATCAAGTAGATCTATAAATGTATGAAAATATTGAAAATGGATGGTCCAGATAATGTGTTGCAAGATGTACTATTTATTGGACTTGGAATATCTTTTTTTCTCCATATCTATATGTTTCGATATCGAGATGATTAATTAGATGTTTTCCAAACATCAAAACAACCTTCTTCCAAGGATTTTAGAGGTGCGCCTTAATTCTACGTTTTAAGGTGTCAATCTTATATAAACTTTTTCCTTACAAAAATCATTGTATGCCAAAGGAACAATATACATGTGTAGAAATATTCTAAACTTTAAAGCATATAAAATTTTAACGCTAGACAAAATTTACAAGGGCGAGATACAAACTTTCGAGATTTCGACTTGCGTTCAGCTTCTTCAGACCGCATTTTCACATGGTCCCTCGTAGACTCGTCCAATATACGCTGCACATTCAGCTTACGCCAAACAGACCCAGATTCAACAAGCAAACCATTTCCATCCTCACCATTTCGACTTTCTTCATAAATGTCACAATTGTCCTCTGGCTCTCGAGCCCATGTAAATCTGAAGTCCTTGCCTCCAACATCAATAACCTAAAAAAAGAAATTACAACTTCGTTTATTAAATACTCTATCATAAAATGACATAAAGATGAAATAAAATGAAAGATAAAGGGCAGAGATAACTCATGTTCAATAAAAATAATCCAGAAGACAAAAATTTGGGTGTAGGATAGAGATCAAATAATACATTTTGTGACCTCTCATGACTACATATTTCTATGTCACTTCCCCATTAGAAAAGTTATTCAGTACAAAGAAACAAGTACATATATTATAAAGAAATAATGGAATGAACAAGTGCACATATGACGTGTTATACTAAATTCTGTGGAATGGACATTCTTATCACTATGCTCAAACGTACACATAAACTAAAAACTCTATAAAGTATTGAAGATACACAAGAAATTGAGAGTTGTTAAATACCATTATCAAGCATTTCAAGTAATGTATACGTCCTCAAACAGTAGCATAATTCACATATGTGGCTCTCTTGCTGAAGAGGGTATTATTTTGAGGATTTTGCTCAATCATTACTAAACAAAACAGGGTGTAATGGAGGGTATACATTCAGTAACTATAATTTATGGTATGAAGGCTTAAAGTGGCCACACAATTGCTGATGCATGTAATTACTTATAACTCTGCATATTGCGTGCATATAGATAATTGTGCAAGGAGATTTTACTTGATTGCAGCCTAGATATATTGTATATGATGGACAATCCCTACATCATAATTAAATCTTAAGTTATTGAGAATGAGCTTCATTGTGCCTCTCTACGAGGGTTTCTCATATCACAACATTCTATCATAGCTATCTTGAAACCCTTGCAGTCTAAAAATTCTAATTCATAAGTTGTCAGCAAACCAGTAGCAGAACCAGTCAAATACAAATCAACAATAACCTTTGGTTTCTTTTTGTTTAAAGGAGTAAAGAGTCCCACTAGGGCTCCCAAATGAAGCCAAGTATCACAAGAAGGGCTTATAATATCTTACACTACCAGAGATTAGACCAGTATCCCAAATTCTCACGCATGGCATGCGGTGTGCATTATATACCACATTTTCTTGACATGCGGGCACTGTAGTTCTATCAAAGAATTGGGAGACTGCATCACTATGATCCGTGGCCACCACTTGGCCTAGCTTGAGGCCGCATCCTCCTTCAGTGGGCACCATGAAACTTAGCTTAGATTGATGCTCTAGGAGTAACCGAGGACCTGGAGGGGTGGGAAGGCTACTAAGAGATCCTGAGGGAATCACTTTTTTACCATTTTCATGGTGGATTGTCATTTGCAACTCTTTCTTCGCATAGGCCAGTATATTGATGAGATTACGGATCTGTGCTCAGGCTTCAGCAAGCTCCCTATCTTTATGGCATGTAAGGAGAGAAGCCAATGACGAGACCAACTTACTGGTCGAACAGGTGTTCCATGGACTCCTTTATCCATAGAAGAGTTCTTGTCATCAGACCCTTTATATGCTGCCTCATCTCTTTGATGTTTATTGTTTTTGCCACTGTTTCTTTGATTTTTCTATCTTTTACAGAAATCAAGAATCAACCTATTTAACATATACAAGATTGATTTCTTTCTCAAACAATAGCAATGGGTTGGCTTCAGTTATGTATTCAAAATCACCCATGACACCGTCTTGCACGGAAGATAAAGTTATAAGTATTTGAACCAGATTGGGAACTTCCTTGACACTTCTTTCCACTTTCCAAAATGTGTTCCATAAAATACTTGGTGCGGGAATTCCCACAACATGGAGTTGTATACCAGGATTCCAGATTTTCTTTTTAGGAGTCCAAACAGGTTCTCATACCTGGAACTTGATAAATCATAGTTGTCACAGATAAAATCAATCTTTAATTTTTTTATTTATTACAAAGGCAATAACAATTTGATGGAATGGAACAATCATAGCAATTAAAAATATAGATATCAACCATTATAAACAAATTTGTTGCAATATGAATAAAGAGGAAAACGAAAAATTTTAGGGGAAAAAATTTATGGGTCTTACACTTTCAGAAGGGTTGTTATTATTGGGCTCAAATTTGATTCTTGCAGTTCCACCTAGAGCTTCGACTCTCTTAATCTCCTCCACAAGGTCAGGAGCAAGGCGAATAAGCATACCAAAGGGGAGAGAGTCTTCGCTCTTTACAAGACTAAAGTTCTCTTCCATGGCCGAAGAAGAGGGAGCGGGAGGTTGAGGTCCTGTAATGGCTGAGCGTCGAGGGAGAGTTGCCGAGCCAGGGGGCCTTGAGGAAGTAGGTCTCAGTGAATTATGGGGAGGAGGAGCCATTATCATGCGCTTCGGTTGCCCCCTGCCCATTCCTCCCCCTCGCCCAAATTTCCCAAACATCTCTCTCTCTCTCTCTCTCTCTCTCTCGGATTGCTTGCAGCTGTGGAGGCTATTTTGGCATTTGAACTTGCGAGAGACAGAGCTCTCTCTCTCTCTCTCTAGGAATACAGTAGAGTTTCTCTCTCCTCACGCTTGCAAGGATTAAACTTGAAAGGGTTGATGCTCTCTCTCTCTCTCTAACCTCCAAGGGACTAATCTCACATTCTCTCTCTAAGCTTGAGGGTATAATCTCTCTCCTCTCTCTCTCTCTAAGCATAGGGAAAATAGTTACTGTCTCTTTCGGGTTGTTACCCTCTCTCCTTGCCATGGATCCCATGTTTCTCTCTCTTCGGGAATAATCAGGAAACGGGATCTATGATCCATATGAGCACCGAGATTGTAAGCACCAAGGCTCATCACCATCCATTAAGTCCGTCAGTCAGCGATGGAGTGGAAGTTGTACATTAAGTTCTTATAATCGTAGTTAGTTGGACGGTGATGACCCCCTCACACCTCATTCATTTGATCATGATCACATTCAATCATAGCATACTTTCTATTATGGACCTGGTTTATATGCGTCCGAGCTGTAAAACTCCAAAACTCTAGGTCTCTTAATGAATCTAATTTTGAGATGGATTTGAAAACTTAATTTAGAAGGACATGTAATTTCTAATGTGGAGATCATGAATATGATAAATAAATAAATTCTAAAACTAAAAATAATAATTTTAGTAAAAAAACATTTAGACTTGTTTTTAAGTAGAAGATCTACTTGCATCCATCTTTAAAATGGATGTTTTATATCTTCTGGATGGTATGTGTAGAAATGTGATCTGGCCCGCATGAAACAATTTCCCTTCTATTGAATGATCTCTCCTTCTCGTGTGAGAGGAAATATTTTGGCCTCTTAAAATTTGTCTTGGATCCTTTAGAACTTAAAATATTATTTGAGCTCTAGGATTTACTGAGTCCTCTGATTTAACTCAATTAATGGAGATTAAGTGTGGGCTTTAGTTCTATGGGAAAATATATAATCTTCACCAGGATGCGTATTGTAGTGCTGTTGTCTAGTGCATTGTGTAGATGTACTTCAAGTAGCATCTTCATTTAATCGAAGTTTGGATGGTGTAGATTAGGCAATATGTCCAATCCACCTTTAAAATATGATCCAATTGTGGCAAAGAAGTCCATGAGAAAATCTCCACCTAGAAATGTTGGTTGGTTTTGGCTTGAACGGTGGATGTGCCACTATTCACCAGAGGAGCATGCAAATTTTATGGGCTAAGATGGAGACTAATTTTCCACTATAGACATGAGTCTTAGTTGTTGTGGCCTTTGAGAGTATGGCCCTTGAATGGCTTACCTGAATTTGTGTACAGACTACAATTAGTTGAGAAATGACTTTGACGATGACGTGAGCTCTAGTTAGGCTTTGAGCTTGTTTCGTTGACAAACTCCCTTGACAATTGTTGAAATTAATATTTTATTATCCTCAATAATTTGCATGGTTTATATAGCATTTAAACAATCAAAGTATGCCCCATTTTCAAATCCTGCAAAAAATTCCATGTTGGCCTAAACATATTTTTTATCTCTAATTGTGAAATTAAAGCTCAAAAAATAACTCAAATAAGTGAAGCTATGAACATTTTATATGATGTCTCCGAATATATAGATCCATAAACATTTAAAAATTCTCAAAATGGATTGTCCGAATAGTATTTTGCATGATACATTATGTATAGCACCTCAAATCTTTTTTATCTCGTGTCCATACATCTCTCCGAAGTTGAGATGGTTACTTGGACGATTTCCCATTTAGAGAATAACCTTTTATAAGACACCTTGATAAACTCTTTTTTTTCCCAATTAAATTATAAGAGCTTTCAAAGTGCTTGGACGATTTCCCATTTTAGAGAGACGCCTTGATAAACTCTTTCTTTTCCCAATTAAATTATAAGAGCTTTCAAAGTGAAATATGTTTTCTGGTTTTTTGAGAAAGATATTGACATATGGGCAAAATTTCTATGCTTCCCCTACAGCATAAAATTTATATACTTCCCCTTATCCAACCATCCATTCTGAATGGAGGGTTAAGATTACCCCAATCACAATGTCACATCTCTACACTATTTTATTTTAAATTTTTTTTCTCTAAACTATTTTGATACCAAATTTTAGATGTCCAGTCCTCTATTAAACTCGCACTAACAAAAAATATAAAAACAATATTTTCAATAAATAAAATGAGCAAAATACCCTTGAAAATTTCAAAGGGTATTTTGGTCATTATATTTTATAAAAAATTTATTTTTAATATCTTTTATAGGTGTGCCTCAATAAAAAGATGTCACATACCAAATTGTATAAAAAAAACTAAAAATAAATTATTTTGAGATGTCGGATCTAAGATCAAACGGTGAGTGGCTCTCTTGATCAAAATTAGACGGCTGGATGGTAGAAGAAGCATAAATCTTCTATATTGCAGGGGAAGTATAGAAACCTTTCCCTTTACATGTGGACAGGTTGCTCTGATGCTAGGAAACCTAATCGTAGTGTGTTTTATACGTGTAATGTGTACATTTTACATGTAAATCATGGTGTAGTCAACCTTTATATAGCGGTATAATTTATGTTGTCGTTACAATGTACAAAAAAAAAGGGAACAAAGGGCAGTTCGATGTTATAAATAAATAAATAAAAGATCATAACTCATATAAATAAATAAATAAAAGATCATTATTTACCTTATAAATAAATAAATAAAAAATCATTACTCATATATATATATATATATGGAAAAAAATTTATATAAAGATGCAACTTTATAATGTAGAACTACGAATGTATCTCAAAAATCCATTGGAAAAAGTAGTTTTAATATTAAAAAACCCTTTG